CCGCATACCTATCCATTTGCAGAAATATCTGCAGGCGATTTTCTTCACCAAATACTTGCAAAAATATCTAACAAACACGCCCACCTGCACACCGCTCCTTTATTAGTGTCTTCTTCAAATATCTTTTTGTTTTTGTTTTACCTTAATCAACAGATTCACAAAAAAAAATAAAAAATTACTCCTATGTAAATATTAAATTCTTTCGGGGAAGAATCTCATGAATTAATTTACTAAGTAAATCTTGAAATGGATCTATTCCTAAATTTCTAAAACAATTTTCATCATTTTTCATCAATTTACGGTAACTATTTTTATTCATCATCATTGGATGTTTAAGTTTCAGAATTAGTGGTTGAAAATGGGAAAGAAGAAGAGAAAATAATTTAAAAGTCAACTAAATAGGTTTTTCACGCTTGGTCAACGATTGTATTACACTCAATAAGCCATGTAAGCAAAAAGTGTCAAAATGACACAACGATTCCCTACATGAGGTGTCTAATAGGAATATTGCCCAGTTAAGGTGTCTAAGTGAAAACTTGTGCCAACTTTAAAGGGCCACCGATGGTTAGGCCAAAAAGTATAACTAAGGATAAATATAACTTTTTTTAAGAGTACAAGGCAAATATGACCCTTTTCCGTAGAAATTATATACAAATAGTTTTCTCAAAGAAGAAAATTGAGTCCACTAAATGCATAGTGTGTCCTTAAAGAAATTATTCCCCTCAAGTACCCGAGGTTAATTGAATATATCCTCCTATGATAGAACGATCTTATCCACCGATGTATTGGTACCTAAAACCACGATGTCCACCAACAGTAAAGCATACTTAAAATACTAGATTTAGTAATAGAAGAAGAAGTCTAGAAATTCATTCATTGTTGTATAATGATGGAAAATCCCTCTATTTATAGATAACAAAGAGTATTGCGAACAAATTCTTATTGTGCCTTATTGAAAATGTCACAACTCTTTGAAAAAGTTACAACCCTTCATAAAAGTTGCAACTCTTGATAAAAATCGCAACTTTTTATTTAAGTCACAACTCTTCATAAAAGTGACAATTTTTCATTTTCCATTCATACCTTTTAAAATCCGACACTACGTTGAAAGCCAAAATTAAAATATTGCCATAAAAGAAAAAAAAAGTCATCTTTTAAAACAGACTAAGAAGGAAAATTCATTCCTTTTTTTGAAACGGACTAAATAGAAAAAAGGAAAAATTAGCTAATTAGTCAAAATAACTAACATAATTATTAAAAGTATCTACACTTCAAAATAATTATTTAAAATGTCAATATGTTAATTTAGCAAATAAAATATATAATATAATTCACTTCCCCTTCTTTTATTTCTCAGCTTAGTTCCTATCTTAACTCATATAAAGCCTTTATTTTAAGCACATAACTAATTTTTCTCTACCTCACTCACGTTCTCTCTCTAATTTTCCCGTGGTTTAATAATAGTGTACAAACCACACAAAATATAATTAACAAGGCTAAAGCCGCAGAGCGACAACATAAGCAAAGGTGACCTGCCATTTTTCCTTCCATTATCCCATTGAATGCCAACAAAATTCTTCTCATCTTCACTTTACTGTAGAATTTAGAATGACAGGAGTTCATTCTATGTGACTTAAACACTTAGAAAGTCGAAGTCTTGTAGAAAATCTTGATACAATTTTGTTTTTGTTTAAATCTTTCAAAATATTTGTTTGTTTAGTTGCTTAGTAAATTCTCCAATTTCGATTAGGGTTTTGGATGAGGAAAACCTGAAAGATCCTTCTCTAATGGTCGACTCTAAGAAGATTACAAGAGGCATTTTGCTTAATCATCAATTTTCTAGCGATTTTTCATCTTTTGATCTATACATGTAAGTGAATACAGATTCAAATTTAGGTTTGGTGAACAAAAAAATCGGGAAAAAGAAATATAGCATAAGAAGAGGAAGAAGAAAGAGAGAGTTAGA